CATTGTTAACCCCTCTACCATGCACTGTAAATCCCTCTACCGTCCATTGCTAACCACTCTACCGTCCATTTTTAACCCCTCTACCGTCCATTGTTAACCCCTCTACCGTCCACTACTGAATCAAAGTCACCAGCCTCTTGGCAGCTTTGGCTATATCATAGGCAAACTGAATCACTTGTTGACCCTTGACACGGAAGTCAGGGTTGGCATCCTGCTCTGGTGACGGCGGCCAGGACTTGCACTCATCACGGAGCCGCTCCGCACTAGTTACTAATGTTATTCTGGCTTCCTGTAGTCTTTCCGATCCAGTTTCCTGTCAAATGAAATATGAATATGTCAGTAAAATATAAAACACTGAAGAAAGAACATGTCAAAAAAAATATAAGACACTAAACACAAAAATGAATTAGACATCAAGACCCCAAACCTTTATGATCACATACAAATGGAACATTGTTCAGTGGTTATCCCTCAAGTGACACATGTACACAGGGATTCTGACCTCTGTTACTGTGACAATGAAAGTAGGAAGACATCCAAATGGATGGAACACACACAGTCATAAACAAGAACTCAGTTAGAAGAAAGAAAAACAGGCACAAAATAATGAGAAAGTACAAACAGGCTCAACATAATAAGAAAGAACAGGCACAAAATAACAAGAAAGTAAGAAGAGGCACAAAATAACAAGAAAGTAAGAACAGGTACAAAATAACATACAAGTAAGAACAGGCACAAAATAATGAGAAAGTACAAACAGGCACAAAGTAATGAGAAAGTAAGAAATGCCACAAAATAACGAGAAAGTACGAACTGGCACAAAATAACAAGTAAGAAAGAACCGGCACAAAATAATGAGAAAATAAGAACAGGCACAAAATAACAAAACAAAAAAAGTAAGAACTGGCACAAAATAACAAGAAAGTAAGAACTGCCCGCCACCCCCCCCCCCCCCCCCCCCCCCCCCCCCCCCAAAAAAAACACAAGAAAGTAAGAACAGGTACAAAATAACAAGAAAATAAGAACTGGCACAAAATTTTAAAAAAGTAACAAAAGGCATGAAATAACAAGAAAGTAAAAGCTGGTACGAAATAACAAGAAAGTAAGAACTGGAAGAAAATAAAAAAGTAAGAACTGGAACAAAATAATAAGAAAGTAAGAACTGGCAAAAAACAAAAAAGTAAGAACTGGCACAAAATAAGAAAGTAAGAACTGGCACAAAATAACAAGAAAGTAAGAACTGGCAAAAAATAACAAGAAAGTAAAAACTGGCACAAAATAACAAGAAAGTAAGAACTGGCACAAAATAATAAGAAAGTAAGAACCGGCACAAAATAATAAGAAAATAAGAACTGGTACAAAATAAGAAAGAAAGAACTGGCACAAAATAAGAAAGTAAGAACTGGCACAAAATAAGAAAATAAGAACTGGTACAAAATAAGAAAGAAAGAACTGGCACAAAATAAGAAAGTAAGAACTGGCACAAAATAACAAGAAAGTAAGAACCGGCACAAAATAATAAGAAAATAAGAACTGGTACAAAATAAGAAAGAAAGAACTGACACAAAATAAGAAAGTAATAACTGGCACAAAATAACAAGAAAGTAAGAACTGGCACAAAATAAGAAAGTAAGAACTGGCACAAAATAACAAGAAAGTAAGAACTCGCACAAAATAACAAGAAAGTAAAAACTGGCACAAAATAAGAAAGTAAGAACTGGCACAAAATAACAAGAAAGTAAGAACCGGCACAAAATAATAAGAAAATAAGAAAGAAAGAACTGGCACAAAATAAGAAAGAAAGAACTGGCACAAAGTAAGAAAGAAAGAACTGGCACAAAATAAGAAAGTAAGAACTGGCACAAAATAATAAGAAAATAAGAACTGGTACAAAATAAGAAAGAAAGAACTAGCACAAAAAAACAAGAAAGTAAGAGAGTCTCCAGATGGTAAAAACCAGTAACAGAGACTTAAAAACATCAATAAGGAGGGAAAGAAATTCACAACAATAATACGCTAACAAGGTACCCACAAGTCAAATAATAAGAAAATAATAAAATACATGACAATCAAAATAATTTTTGCTTTTTAAGTAAGAAACGTAAACAATAAGAAACTCAACATTTTCCAGTCACTTTACAACAGAACTCAAGCAAACATGCAACCAGCAATTCAAATCATATGCACACATGAATCAAACAAAGCTCTGACAGACATATGAACTAAAGCCAAACATGTGCTACCAAACAAACAACGCAGACAACAATGAGTGGACAAGAAAATCAGCTGATAAAAAAATGAACTGAAAAAGTAAATGAACATTTAAAAAACCAAGCGCAACACAGGAAATGTGACGACGACAGCGCAACGTTGGAAATTATTCTGTGCAGGTCTAGGTACTATCCTGTCAACAAAGCAGAAATGGTTATGGGGGAAAGGGAGAACTTGACCAGTGCAAATAATATTCTCACAGTTATAAGTTAAATTATCTTCACAGCGCTCCAGACACATCCATAGGCTCTGATTCCCCTCTCAACATATTCATCAGCGTCATGCGGTTAATACTACCAGTCCTATGTTGGTTAAGAAGACTTCGTGTTCATCCAGTGTGCTTCTCATGCTTGGCTGTGCCGATCTTTACTCCCAATTCGCGTATTCTTAGAAGTGATGTGGACACGTTACTTCCAAAATCCTCAGAATGTCCTATCTCTCTAAGGGCAATGACAATGTCTGCGTGATCCATGGGCCGGCCATCTTCAATTATTGCAGTGCCTGCCAGTCTATCAGCTCTCTCATTACCAACAACGCCTGCATACCCTGGGACGAATATGAAAGTAACTGCACACACACAAGAGTTTTGCAATGACTCAAGCCACTGTCTGCGTAACCAGCCTGCCTCAAACCGCCGGACCATACTCAAAAAATCACTCAGCACACACACGTGGGAATAGTCCTGTGATCCCAGCCACATGAAAGCCTGTGTCACCGCCATCACCTCCATCGTCATGCTGCTGGTGGTCATGGAGAAGGCACCGCTGGCTTTCTTGACTGTTCTGCCTGAAGAGTGAGCTGCAAATGCCCGTGTATTCTTATTCTCACAGTACTCAGCCCCACAGAATGGAAACTTGACTAGTGCAAATAATATTCTTACAGTACTAAAACCTACAGAATGGAAACTTGACTAGTGCAAACAATTTTCTCACAGTACTCAACCCCACAGAATGGAAACTTGACTAGTGCAAACAATGTTCTCACAGTACTCAGCCTTACAGAATGGAAACTTGACTAGTGCAAACAATTTTCTCACGTACTCAACCCCACAGAATGGAAACTTGACTAGTGCAAACAATGTTCTCACAGTACTCAACCCTACAGAATGGAAACTTGACTAGTGCAAATAATATTCTCACAGTACTCAACCCCACAGAATGGAAACTTGACTAGTGCAAACAATTTTCTCACAGTACTCAACCCCACAGAATGGAAACTTGACTAGTGCAAACAATATTCTCACAGTACTCAGCCTTACAGAATGTAAACTTGACTAGTGCAAACAATATTCTCACAGTACTCAACCCCACAGAATGGAAACTTGACTCATCATCATCATGATGGAAACTTGACTACAAGACTAAAATTGCTTTCTTAGAATCACAAACTGTTTTCTTACCTGAATTGTCTGCTTTGATTCGTTTATTGTTTATAATCCACCGTATTACCCTCATCGTTTTAAACTTGAAATTTGTTTTTTAAATTCTTCACAGCTCTTTGTATACTTCTTTTTAACATTCACGAGCTTTATACTCAGGGAAGGGGGATCCATTTGACAGATGTGGCTTATTTATGTGCAGACTGTTGGTTGCTCGCCTTAGACAGATGCACTCTGACTGTGAAGGAAACACCTTTGTTAGTGGCCTTCTCATCCCATGTGGTTTCAGGGCCCCATAGTGGGGAAAACAAGAACAGACCCTTTGCCTCCCTCACAAGCATGCCGTAGGAGTCGATAAGCAGGGGCATCTTTTGTTGTCGGAGTACACCTGGCCGAGAGGAAAGGAACCAAAAGTCTGCATACAAATAAACCAGATCTGTGAAACAGGTGTGCATGCAACCTTCAGGTTCTGGAACAAGACTTAAGTCTGGAGCTGGACCTAATGGCAAGAAAAGGGTCCTTTACCTGTTCAGACTAGCATATACCAGGTGTGACCATGGCAAGAACAAATGCTGTTTACATGACCTGGCTCCTTGATCCTAACAATCAGTTCTGATTGACCTATCATGTTATCAAGCATATCTCTGGCTGATGTATCCCAACTGTTCTTGATAAACAAATGTGAACACCATGTGAACAATGAATGTCAACATCCTGTGGTAAATAAACACAAACAAGATGGATACACTTTCAAGTGATGGTCAAGCTGAGAGTGAACTCTAATCTAGGGGTGGCACACAAGATGTGAGACAACACTGACACCCTGGTGAAGCTACAACAATGACACCCTGGTGAAGCTACAACAATGACATGGCTATCTTTCTGCAAGGTCAGTGGATATGAACTCTCTCTCTTTTTTTAAAAAAGTATTAAAAGAAATCAAACATTACCCCTACTAATATCAAAAACTATTTAAACTGAAACAAACTTTGCTGCAGGGCTGTTTGTTTCTGGAACCAATAAGAGAAGCCATGAATGGTCACAGTGTCACCAACCAAGCATGTCACAAGAGGCGACTAGTGAGGGTTGGCATGGGACTGGCTAACTCATCCAGTAGACAACTGTAGCTGTAAACTCCAATCAACCAAGAAGACATTTTTGACACAAGAAATTGTCAAGAGTTGGTTGAGGCCCCGTACTCCTTGGGGAGATAAAAAGACTGCTAACTTTTTGTCATGCAAATATAAAATGTAAGGCCAGGGGAAATTACTCCAGTGCATAATAAATCGTCAGAAATGATAATTTTCATAATCCTATTCCCATAACATTTACAAACTGGCTGACCCTCAGTTTAATCACAAACCACATGAGCCTTGCTTACATCTGGGAACAGAGAGGCCATTTCCAAGACAGCTGTATATATCCGTTCCGAGCACGACTCAAAACTGCAGTTGGGAAAAGAAAAAAAAATAAGCCACGAAAAAGGAAACAATATAAGCACCATGTAATCACAAAGCTGCACATGAAAATACAAGTATCAATGGATGCTAGTGACATGGCAAGGGCACATCAGCTTTACACAACAATACTCTACCGCGGCAACAATGTGACGCTATCCAAATGTGAGCTATGTGACCTGGTAAAAGATATGATAGCACTGTCACTTTCCTGGTGCTCCATTTACTTGCCTGCTTACCAACTTGTTGGCCAAGGGTTCACTTCTGACTGAGGGGGGGGCTCATTCTGCCAGATTTGTCAGGAAACCAACAGCGGTGAGAAGGGAACTGGCCACCACAACTCATCATCCAGATCTACAGCTTGTAAAGATCCAGCACTACTTGCCTTGTGGATACCATTTTGTATTCACTGCCCCCATCTTTCCCCATTTATCAGAGAAAACAAGATTAAACAAACGGTTATCTGATAGTTTCCCTCAGGCGCAACTTTTCTCACACAGTTTAAAAAAAAAGTGTAGCCCGTTTAACTGCCATCCAGGCATAGTGATGCTGTATTGCATTTTCTAGGAAGCAGAGCAATTGCTCATACACTGACAAATGTTATAAGATGGCATTCACATTGGCTGTAGCAGAGCACTTGCTCATACACTGACTAATGTTATAAGATGGCATACACATTGGCTGTAGCAGAGCACTTGCTCATACACTGACCAATGTGGAGATGAGTCTGCCTCATACAACGTGTCTCTGAGAGGATGACCATGCACTATCAGGTGCACCATCAGGCTGAGATCCCAGTATGCCATAATGACAATGAGGCCCTTTCCTTCCAACAATGAAATGGCCCCCATGTTGACAGCTACTTCTGCCACTGTCAGACAAATCTCAGCCCATCTGACCATAATAAGGATGGGTGAAATTTAGAGCTGTTTAGTTGACACTTGCCAATTTGATGTAGTGGTGATGGGGGCAACTTAGTGTGCAACCCAAGGCCAGAGGTGCTGCTTGGGTTATGAATGACATGAGTTAAACATCTCTGCACTAGGGAGATTCCTGTATGTGTTGGTTTCCTTCCTCACTGGCCAGTCAGAAGTTCCCATTACAATGGTACCACCAATGGTCACCTGACTGAAAGTCCACCTACCTCTCAGCTGAAGGTGTAGCATCGTCTGGACCCTCTCATTCCCAAGCACAGATGTTCTCTCTGTTTTCATGCTCTATGTGCCTGCTGCCAACAGCCTTGACCCATCTACTGATCATCAAGTCAGTCACCATCACGAGGAGTGTCTAGCAGTGACAGACCCCCCATCAGATTTGTGGGCGTCATGTAAATACTGCAAGGTTAACCATGATCAGCTGACCAGACGGGCCACAACAGAGCATTCCTACCACCACTGAGAGCTGAACTCCATACCCTAAGAGTTGAACTTCATATCCTAATAGCTGAACTCCAAACCAGTGAGTTGGCAAGTCAATGAACTAAACAGTGGACCACCTAGGTTCCAATGGTACAGAAGCAATGTCAAATCAGTAGCACACAGCACTGTCTCCAACTGCTAGATTGTTTCAGCTGCTTTTTGATTTCCTGGGCTGTGTAGACAGAATATCTGGCAGTCGTGACTGTCACAGAGGCTGCATTCAGGGATGGTGTGATATGATATGAATCATTTTCTGTAACTGCCAATGCTTGTCTGATTTAATAAACAAGACAAAACGAAAACAAGATACAATCTGTTCAATCAATTTGCACAAGATGAAGAAATATCTCAATGCTTCACCTGTTGCCTGACAGCTATGGGTTTCACTGTGCACTGAGGTGGATTTTTATAACAATAACTTTGATCCTCAGGCTGACCCAGTCTTTCATGCATACCAGGAAATGTCCTATGAAATACAGGTGACTGGCATAATGTTGTCATCGCCCCTCCAGTGGTGACTGGCATAATGTTGGAATCGCCCCGCCAGTGGTGACTGGTATAATGTTGGCATCGCCCCGCCAGTGGTGACTGGCATAATGTTGGCATCGCCCCGCCAGTGGTGACTGACATAATGTTGGCATCGCCCCGCCAGTGGTGACTGGTATAAGGTTGGCATCACCCCGCCAGTGGTGACTGGCATAATGTTGTCATCACCCCGCCAGTGGTGACTGGCATAATGTTGTCATCACCCCGCCAGTGGTGACTGACATAATGTTGGCATCACCCCGCCAGTGGTGACTGGCCTAATGTTGGCATCACCCCTCCAGTGGTGACTGGCATAATGTTGGCATCCCCCTCCAGTGGTGACTGGCATAATGTTGGCATCCCCCCTCCAGTGGTGACTGGCATAATGTTGGCATCGCCCGCCAGTGGTGACTGGCATAATGTTGGCATCCCCCCGCCAGTGATGACTGGCATAATGTTGGCATCGCCCCTCCAGTGGTGACTGGCATAATGTTGGCATTACCCCTCCAGTGGTGACTGGCATAATGTTGGCATCGCCCGCCAGTGGTGACTGGCATAATGTTGGTATCACCCCTCCAGTGGTGACTGGCATAATGTTGGCATCCCCCCTCAGTGGTGACTGGCATAATGTTGGCATCCCCCCGCCAGTGGTGACTGGCATAATGTTGGCATCGCCCCTCCAGTGGTGACTGGCATAATGTTGGCATCACCTCTCCAGTGGTGACTGGCATAATGTTGGCATCCCCCCTCCAGTGGTGACTGGCATAATGTTGGCATCGCCACTCCAGTGGTGACTGGCATGTTGGCATCACCCCTCCAGTGGTGACTGGCATAATGTTGGCATCCCCCCCCCGCCAGTGGTAACTGTCAACACACTTATGAGCCCAGTACCATATGTCTGACCAGCTCTATGTGACATATAATGAGACAAACCAGCATCCAGCTGAATCTACTTCCTGGCTGACAGGGAGTTATTCAGTAAAATTAAGTTTGTTTTTGTCTGGTTTAAAAGATGATATGTTGTGACAATGCATGTCAATGCATATATTTCCTCTCCTTACTTGCTCCATTTTGTGTTTTTTAACTCTTAGTATGCTGTACACCACTTGAAGTGACTACAAAATATAAATCTGACGAAAGTCTATTCAGGTGTAAAATCCTGATTGCTGGGACTCTACAAGACCAAATTACATGGTTAACATTCCATGCAGTGGTTCTACAGGTCACCCATGGTCATCTGTGTGATGTGGTCTGTCCATCTGAAGCAATGAGCTTCACGTTATTTTTACAACCACAACAGGAAATTTATTCACAGAATATGAGCTTCTAAATAAAGATTTCCAGTGAAAACACTAAGAGTGATAATTACCTGCAATAATGTTAACAATTTCTGAGCATTTGAAGTTTTTTTATCCACCCAATTTCTTATCTCTGTCTTCTGATATGATTGTCTATAAATGTGTGTATGTCTAACTATACGACTGACTGCCTGTCTCTGTCCGTCTGTGTGATAGTGTCTCACTGACCTTCTGTCGGCCTGTGTCTCACTGACCGACTGTCTGTGTGAATGTGTCTCACTGACCGACCGTCTGTCTGTGTGACTGTGTCTCACTGACCATCTGTCTGCCTGTGTCTCAACGACTGACCATCTGTCTGTCTGTGTGACCATCTGTCTGTCTGTGTGACTGTGTTTCACTGACCGGGCATCTGTCTGCCTGTGTCTCAACGACTGACCATATGTCTGTCTGTGTGACTGTGTCTCACTGACCGGCCATCTGTCTGTCTGTGTCTCAATGACTGACCATCTGTCTGTCTGTGTCTCAATGACTGACCATCTGTCTGTCTGTGTGACCATCTGTCTGTCTGTGTGACTGTGTTTCACTGACCGGGCATCTGTCTGCCTGTGTCTCAACGACTGACCATATGTCTGTCTGTGTGACTGTGTCTCACTGACCGGCCATCTGTCTGTCTGTGTCTCAATGACTGACCATCTGTCTGTCTGTTTGACTGTGTTTCACTGACCGGCCATCTGTCTGCCTGTGTCTCAATGACTGACCATATGTCTGTCTGTGTGACTGTGCCTCACTGACCGGCCATCTGTCTGTCTGTGTGACTGTGTCTCACTGACTGACCATCTGTCTGTGTCTCAATGACCGACCATCTGTCTGTCTGTGTGACTGTGTCTCACTGACTGACCATCTGTCTGTCTGTCTGTGTGACTGTGTCTCACCTACTGACCGTCTGTCTGTGTGACTGTGTCTCAATGACCAACCGTCTGTCTGTCTTACTGTGTCTGACAGCCCATCTGACAGCTCATCTGTGTGTCTGTGTCTGATGTCTGATCGACCGTCTGTCTGTCTGTGTGACTGATGTCTGATCGACCGTCTGTCTGTCTGACCGTCTGTCTGTGTGACAGATGTTTGACAGTCTGTTTGTATGACTGTGTCGGACAGCCCATTTGTGTGACTGTTCCGTCTATCTGTGTCTGATGTCTGACTGCCCGTCTGTCTGTGTGAATGTATCTGACGTCTGACTGACCAACCATCTGTCTGTCTGTCTGTGTGTCTGACCGCCATCTGTCTATACAACTAGCACTTCAAATCATGTCCAATGTGTAGTCTCCACAGGATGATCGAACCTGGTGCATTTAATGCCAATATTAGAACTGCTACCACCTTACCACACAAAAAATAATTAGTCAACACCATATATGGGCATACAAATACGTACAACATGTTACAACAGAAGGCATGCACAACAAGCAGACATATAAACACTCGCAGACAACAACTACCAGCTACATCTGCAACAACAACCTAGATGTGAGCTAGGGTCAGCATGGAGCAGTGGGCTGGTTACAACACAACAACTATCACCCCCAAATAGCAGTGCGTCATATATATTTATATATATATTTATATTTATATATACAGAAAAACTGCAGGGGAATTTAAAAGCAAATCAAACAAACAAACAAGGGGTACTGAGAGAAGATGTTTGTTAGTTGAACCTCATGGCACCGAGCAACAAGTGACTGAGGATACACAGAATACACAGGATGTGATGTCCAACATCATGTGACATTGACTATAGCTGGAGGAATGGTTTCAACTCTCAAAGCACAGAAGATTCTGACACAGCATTTGCTGACTCAAATGTTACTTTACTGATTGGGGGGGGGGGGGGGGGGGGGGGGGGGGGGGGGGGGGGGGGGGGGGGGTATACATATATTTTAAACCACAGTGGTTCTTGTTATGGATTAAATTAAAAAACCAATGGTTACAGTTAATGTTAAAATTTCAAAACCAAATGTTATCGTTAAGGATTATATTTCAAAATCAAAGGTACAGCTGAGAATGACATGTCAATGCCAATGATTAAGTTTAGGATTAAATATCAAAAACAACAGCTGCACTTCATAAATAAATTGAAAAAAAAAAACAGGCTACAGTTGGGATACAATTTCAAGACCTAAAGGTTTACACAAAATGAGCAGCTGCAATAACATAGTGGCTAGTGAATCTGCCTGCCAGAATGGTGGCCACCTGTTCAAACCTCTGTTAAGGTGGTGACTTTTTCCCCCTTTCAATGACCACGGCCAGGTGCAGTTGGATCGATATCCATGAAAACATTTACCAGCAGCAACAGCCATCAAGTGTTTATATTCTGTTCGTTTACAACGCCAGGATACGGACCATGATCATGTCATTGGGGAAAGAACTGATGACACCAAATTGTAACTACAAAGAGAGAGAGGAAAAGACAACCAGGGCAAAAGACATCCTAAGCACACTAGGAATGAACAGAGACAAACAAGATTAAGGTTCAATCAATATGTGACAGTAAACAGACAATAAAGATACAAATGTCCGTCTGCTGCTTCTGTTTCCTTCCAACTGTCCTGCACTCTTTTCTTACAATGCGTTTAAACAATCTGTATTGTCTTTTCCTGCATCGTTTCCTTCCAACTGTCCTGCACTACTTTCTCATGACGTGTTTAAACAATGTGGATTATCTTCTCCTGCCTCTGTTTTCTTCCAACTGTCCTGCACTCTTTTCTCACAATGTGTTTAAACAATGTGAATTATCTTCTCCTGCCTCTGTTTTCTTCCAACTGTCCTGCACTCTTTTCTCACAATGTGTTTAAAACAATGTGGATTATCTTCTCCTGCCTCTGTTTTCTTCCAACTGTCCTGCACTCCTTTCTCACAATGTGTTTGAACAATGTGGATTGTCATCTTCTGTCAATAACAAGTTGTCTTCTTGTGTTAATTTCTTTCTAACCATCTCTGTTTATCTGTCCATTCTGTTCTCATCATTCATCTACAGATCTACATGCCTGCAGCTTCCACATAATTTTCACTAATCGCCTGACTGTCCATGATTTACTACCATGCATCCACACTGGCTCTATTTAAGTCTGAACAACTTTTGTTCTCACTTTACGTGACAGGATAGGCTGCACTTTGTGAAATGCTGCCTTTGCTTGAGCTATTCTATGTTTAACTCAATTAATACCTACAAATGGAATTACCTCATTAACTATCAACTAGCCTCAACAGCATCCACAAATGTAACCTCTCTGAGAGACCATCCAAATATGTATCCTCTTTGAGAGACCATCCAAATATGTATCCTCTCTGAGAGACCATCCAAATATGTATCCTCTCTGAGAGACCATCCAAATATGTATCCTCTCTGAGAGACCATCCAAATATGTATTCTCTCTGAGAGACCATCCAAATATGTATCCTTTCTGAGAGACCATCCAAATATGTATCCTTTCTGAGAGACCATCCAAATATGTATCCTTTCTGAGAGACCATCCAAGATGTCAAATTTAAAGAGGTTAGAAAATGAACACAAAATAAAACAGACACACCAGGTTGTCAAACATCTGTAGAAACATGACAAAACATTACAGAGATACCATGGACACAACATCTGGACCAGAAACTAAATATTCATCCATTCTGTAAATAGCTTATTTTATCTGTTGTTAAATGGGAGTTCCAAATTTAAAGGAGACTGAGGTAAATGTGTGAAAACAGAGAGCAGCCGTGCTGGTTCTGCTCAAACAGGTAGCTGTGACAAATATGTTGGTTCATTCATTATTCTGCTAACCAAACAATCTCACATATAGTGGAGGGGGGGGGGGGGGGGGGGGGGGGGGGGGGGGGGGGGGGGGGGGGGGGGTGGGGGGGGGGGGGGGCGGGGGGTGGAAAAGGGGCAGAACAGCAGGCTGTTCTTGAACAGAACAGAAACAACCACCTACTGAGACAGCAAAGAGACATCAAGAATTAGATCTCCCACCCTTCCCTGTATCCTGTTCTACATATTTGGCCTCGCCCTGTGACAGAACAACTTTTCACGTCTTTAGTTACATCAGGTACAGTAACAATTAACGAATCCAATTTTTAGGGATTTTTGCCTTAAGGCAAATGTGGCCTATGTTTTAGGTCCACATCTTTATACAGAGCAATCTGAACTCAAGGACTGAAATCAATATATGGCTGCCTTTACTTCCCAGAACATTCCATTGGGAGTCTGTCCCACTCTTTAGAATAATCCTCCTCTCTCAGCCGGATAACCTCTAATGTAGTGTTCTATTAATCCAGTCTTCATACGTCCCATGTTACAGACAAATACTGAAGCTATTTTTTTTATAAATATGAACACTGGAAACTATTATGTTGAAATTTTCTAACAAACAGTGGAGAGTAAACATGTAAATGCTTGAGTGAAACTATATTTGAATAATTCAAACTGTAAAACAAAACAAAACTAAAATTATAAACTGCAATATCATCTCATTTCTGGTATGGCCAGTTGTCATAAAAAGCTTTTTGTCTACATTTAAATACTTAATTAAAAACTGAAAATATAACTGAAATACACAAATTAATATTACAATGCTGAAGCCAAACACTGAAACTGAAAACACACAAAACAATAAACAACAAAAATGACAAAGTGGCAACTCTAGCGTCAGAGAAGGAGGCAAGCCACCACAAACCTGTTGTGTCGTCCTTCTTGTGCTGCCACTAGAAGTTCTTGGATTTTCTTTGTCACCTTCTCTGTTTTTTTCACCACCTATAAATAAATAAATACCAGCCATAGCTGAGTGTTTATGTTTCCTTATATTACCAACAGAGAAAACAATACATTCACAAAACCTGGTCATATGATGTGGGTGATCATGCATCTCTACGCTGCACATAATTTGAAAAAAAAAAACCAACAAAAAACACAAAGAAGGTGTTGACTGAAGTGGATCAATTCATGTAATGCAGGATGTATCAATGTACAAAATGACAAAATAGTGAGTGGTCTATTTGAGCCTTGGTGTGTTGTTAGCTTTTGGCCGTGGTTTGCCAGTGCATTTTCCACATACACAGACTGGAGTTGATGGTAGCTGGGCAACAAAGCCATCAGCTCCAGGCAAATGAGTTGGGTGCTGGGTGTGAGCTATGTATTTAACGTGACAGTCAGACTGACAGAGAGCGGGGGGAGGGGGTTAATCCAAACCTGGCTTCTCTAAGTGACAAGACAACTGTGTGCAAGGCAGAATGACAACTGACCTCTTGCTGGGACGGCATGTTGGGGTCATCACCGCAGGCAGCCAAAGAAGAATTGGAGCCCTGGCCATCACTTTCAGAAGACTCCCTAATTGAGGACAGCACTTCTTGCACTTGACTTTCACTGGCACCGCTGCAATAACACATCAATAAATGCACAAATATTAGCAATTAATCTCATGCTGATTCTGCCACCTCAATTCCCTTTTTGTAATGAATACTAGAATAACTTAATCTCTCTCCCTTCCTGCCCCCCCCCCCTCTCTTTCTCTCTCTCTCTCTCTCTCTCTCTCTATGTCACATAAAGCTATCACATTAAGTAAACGTACACATGTACACATATCGGACATTTTAACATGTTTAAAGATTTATGTTACAAAGCGACAACTGATGGAAGATGTGAGTGATCACAGAGATAAGGAAAGAATCTGCACATACATGGAAACAAACACAAAAACACAGACATTCTAGAAGGATTGGATATGAAAACACAGATGAAAAACAAAATGAGAAAAGATACAAGTGAAATATTTTGGCTTCATTAGAAGATCTTATGCCTGTAAAAAGGCCTTCTTCTGAAAACCACAATGAAGAGAAAAATTGGAAAAAATGGAGGAAAAAACATAAAGAGATCAATAGCAGTCTGTCACAATGTACTACCAGGGAAGAGACAGACCGCTGAATCAATCCTGAGTGTCAGCAGATATCATAGAGTGGACAAAGAAACAATCTAATATACTTACCTTATTTCACAGAGTGAGCAAAGAAACAATCTAATATACTTACCTTTTATCAGAAAGTGGACAAAGAAAATTTCTAACTTACCTTATATCACAAGATGGACAAAGAAATGATATAATTTACCTTATATCACAGAATGGACAAAGAAATGATCTAATATACTTACCTTACATCACAGAGTGGTCAAAGAAACAATCTTATATACTTACTTACCTTACATCACTGAGAGGACAAAGAAATGATCTAACTTAACTTATATCATAGAGTGAACAAAGAAACAATTTAATATACTTACCTTACATCACAGAGTGGACAAAGAAACAATCTAATATACTTACGTTACATCACAGAGTGGATAAAGAACCAATCTAACTAACTTACCTTATTTCACAGAGTGGACAAAGATACAATCTAATGTACTTACCTTTCAAATGACTGGTTTGACTTGGAAATATCCTGATGGCCATCAGCAAAATTTTGGTGGCACTGATTGTCAACTGCAGAGCTGCCAGCCACTGACAATCCTTTACTTCTGCTCTGAAGTAGATAAAACAATGGCCACAGACTTACACACTAGACACATCTGGCAGCGAATAACAACAACAACCATGGCCACAGACTGTTACACACTAGACACATCTGGAGGCGAACAACAACAACAACCATGGCCACAGACTGTTACACACTAGACACATCTGGCAGCGAATAACAACAACAACCATGGCCACAGACTGTTACACACTAGACACATCTGGAGGCGAACAACAACAACAACCATGGCCACAGACTGTTACACACTAGACACATCTGGAGGCGAACAACAACAACAACCATGGCCACAGACTGTTACTCACTAGACACATCTGGAGGCGAACAACAACAACAACCATGGCCACAGACTGTTACACACTAGACACATCTGGAGGCGAACAACAACAACAACCATGACCACAGACTGTTACACACTAGACACATCTGGAGGCGAACAACAACAACAACCATGGCCACAGACTGTTACACACTAGACACATCTGGAGGCGAACAACAACAACAACCATGGCCACAGACTGTTACACACTAGACACATCTGGAGGCGAACACAACAACAACAACCATGGCCACAGACTGTTACACACTAGACACATCTGGAGGCGAACAACAACAACAACAACCATGGCCACAGACTGTTACACACTAGACATCTGGAGGCGAACAACAACAACAACCATGGCCACAGACTGTTACACACTAGACACATTTGGAGGCGAACAACAACAAAAACAATGGCCACAGACTGTTACACACTAGACATCTGGAGGCGAACAACAACAACAACAACCATGGCCACAGACTGTTACACACTAGACACATTTGGAGGCGAACAACAACAAAAACAATGGCCACAGACTGTTACACACTAGACATCTGGAGGCGAACAACAACAACAACATTGGCCACAGACTGTTACACACTAGACACATCTGGCGGCGAACAACAACAACAACCATGACCACAGACTGTTACACACTAGACACATCTGGAGGCGAACAACAACAACAACCATGACCACAGACTGTTACACACTAGACACATCTGGAGGCGAACAACAACAACAACCATGGCCACAGACTGTTACACACTAGACACATCTGGAGGCGAACAACAACAACAACCATGACCACAGACTGTTACACACTAGACACATCTGGAGGCGAACAACAACAACAACCATGGCCACAGACTGTTACACACTAGACACATCTGGAGGCGAACAACAACAACAACCATGGCCACAGACTGTTACACACTAGACACATCTGGAGGCGAACAACAACAACAACAACCATGGCCACAGACTGTTACACACTAGACACATCTGGAGGCGAACAACAACAACAACAACCATGGCCACAGACTGTTACACACTAGACATCTGGAGGCGAACAACAACAACAACCATGGCCACAGACTGTTACACACTAGACACATTTGGAGGCGAACAACAACAAAAACAATGGCCACAGACTGTTACACACTAGACATCTGGAGGCGAACAACAACAACAACAACATGGGCCACAGACTGTTACACACTAGACACATTTGGAGGCGAACAACAACAAAAACAATGGCCACAGACTGTTACACACTAGACATCTGGAGGCGAACAACAACAACAACATTGGCCACAGACTGTTACACACTAGACACATCTGAACAACAACAACAACCATGACCACAGACTGTTACACACTAGACACATCTGGAGGCGAACAACAACAACAACCATGACCACAGACTGTTACACACTAGACACATCTGGAGGCGAACAACAACAACAACCATGGCCACAGACTGTTACACACTAGACACATCTGGAGGCGAACAACAACAAACAACACCATGACCACAGACTGTTACACACTAGACACATCTGGAGGCGAACAACAACAACAACCATGGCCACAGACTGTTACACACTAGACACATCTGGAGGCGAACAACAACAACAACCATGGCCACAGACTGTTACACACTAGACACATCTGGAGGCGAACAACAACAACAACAACCATGGCCACAGACTGTTACACACTAGACACATCTGGAGGCGAACAACAACAACAACAACCATGGCCACAGACTGTTACACACTAGACATCTGGAGGCGAACAACAACAACAACCATGGCCACAGACTGTTACACACTAGACACATTTGGAGGCGAACAACAACAAAAACAATGGCCACAGACTGTTACACACTAGACATCTGGAGGCGAACAACAACAACAACAACCATGGCCACAGACTGTTACACACTAGACACATTTGGAGGCGAACAACAACAAAAACAATGGCCACAGACTGTTACACACTAGACATCTGGAGGCGAACAACAACAACAACAACAACAACAACCATGACCACAGACTGTTACATACTAGATACAGCTGGCGGCAAACAACAATACTGTGTCTGCATATAGGTCACATTCAACGGTGGGTACAAGAGTAAGTGGAAACTGTGCTGGCGCAGTGGCTGTATACTTGCCTGTCTGCCCAGTGGTCATAAGATCCAATCCAAACTGAGGTATGGGTGTGACTATATCCCTCAGTTACTACCGATTGGCCTATACAAATATCGGATGAACATATAGCCAACATTAAAAGAATATATGATGGAGAATAAACTCACAATGTATCAATGGTTATTTCTAGGCCGACCACCCAGAGAGCTGTGACTTAACTCTTTAGTTGGTTGCCTATCCTCTATAGGACACTGCAGAACCAACCCCAGCATTTTTTTTTAGCTGTTGTGGTTTTTCTACACAAATTTTACATTCAATAGTTTGTCACTGCTTTCTGATCGAAACCAAGGCTAGACAAACTGTCCGCAGCTGAGTTTGAACCCTGAACCTGGGCATTACAAAGCTTGTTTGCACTGCCTAAGCCGCAGACAACTTAACACTTTACTACCAAGTGTTAATTCAACTCTTTATGGCCATGGTAATCATTACTCTGATGGTAACATTAGAAGTGCCTTTTCCCATATTATACTAACAAAGAATTGACAGGAAAGACCAAATAGATAAAGTCACACAACGATCATACCTGGCCAGCTCCGGTCACTGATATGTTAGCCACAGATGCAGATGACATCATTTGTGCATTGTGTCCCATGTTCTGGAGAGAAAAAAAAAACAGGAAAAAATTTGGAAAAGTTGAACAAACTTTAATATAAATCACAGAAACAATGTCAGTTTATCTGAATGGATAGAAAGGGATAAGATTTCTCTTACAATCAATGAGATAAGATTACTACATTTCCGCATAAAACCAAGAAGTAAGACAAGGAGTCTTTCGTGGAAAAACAGAAATAAGATACAGCAAACTCGTAAGGAAGACCAGGATATACAAATATAACAGTTTCAATGAACAAAACTATCAGACCTGCAGGAAAGATTAAGAGATTTCATAAATGGTCGATGGAATAGGAATACAACTAATGGGGTTTCAAGGAAGACACAGAAATATCATCATAACTGTTCCATAGGATATGAATACAGCTTACAAGGTTTGAAGGAAGACACAGAAATATCATCATAACTGTTCCATAGGATATGAATACAACTAACAGAGTTTCAAGGAAGATAAAAGAATATCATAACTGTTCCATTAAATAGAAATACAACTAACATGGTTTCAAGGAAGACAAAAGAATATCATAACTGTTCCATGGAAAAGGAATACAACTAACAGGGTTTCAAGGAAGACAAAAGAATATCATAACTGTTCCATGGAATAGGAATATAACAACAGGGTTTGAAGGAAGATAAAAGAATTTCATGACTGATCCATGGAAAAGGAATAAAACAAAAAAAGGTTTCAAGGAAGATAAAAGAATATCATAACTGTTCCATGAAATAGAAATACAACTAACAGGGTTTCAAGGAAGACAAGAGAATATCATAACTGTTCCATGGAATAGGGTTTAAAGGAAGATAAAAGAATATCATAACTGATCCATGGAAATGGAATAAAACAAAAAACGGTTTCAATGAAGACAAAAATATCATAACTGTTCCATGGAATAGGAATACAACTAATAGGGTTGCTAGGAAGACAAAGAAATATCATTAAAACTGTTCCATGGAATTGGAATACAACTAACATGGTTTCAAGGAAGACAAAAGAATATCATAACTGTTCCATGGAATAGGAATATAACAACAGGGTTTGAAGGAAGACAAAAGAATATCATATTTGTTCCATGGAATATGAATAAAACTAACAGGGTTTCAAGGAAAACAAAAGAATATCATAACTGTTACATGGAATTGGAATACAACTAACATGATTTCAAGGAAGATAAAAGAATATCATAACTGTTCCATGGAATTGGAATAAAATTAACAGGGTTTGAAGACAAAAGAATATCATAACTTTTCCATGGAATATGAATAAAAGCAAAAGGATTTCAAGAAAGACAAAAGAATATCATTACTGTTCCATGGAATAGGAATACAACTAACAGAGTTTCAAGGAAGATAAAAGAATATCATCAGAACAGACATTTGGGATCCTTGTGTGGTTTATGGGTGCCCATTGAGGGAAAAACAAGTACAGACCCACTGCCACACCAACAAGCATGTCGTAAGATTAGACTAATTGAGAGCTTCCTTCAAAGCCAAAGTGCATCTGCCCAAGCGGCAAGGAACAACCAGCTGCACACATATAAGCCAGTAAAATGGATGTAGATGCAAAATTCAGGCCCTGGCACAAAACAAAAGTCTAAATGGATGAACAACCAGGACTTTCCACCAGAGCTTCTAGCCAGTGAACAACCAGGACTTTCCACCAGAGCTTCCAGCCTGTGAACAACCAGGACTTTCCACCAGAGCTTCCAACCAGTGAACAACTAGGACTTTCCACCAGAGCTTCCAGCCTGTGAACAACCAGGACTTTCCATCAGAGCTTCCAGCCAGTGAACAACCAGGACTTTCCACCAGAGCTTCCAACCAGTGAACAACTAGGACTTTCCATCAGAGCTTCCAGCCAGTGAACAACCAGGACTTTCCACCAGAGCTTCCAATCAGTGAACAACTAGGACTTTCCACCAGAGCTTCCAGCCTGTGAACAACCAGGACTTTCCACCAGAGCTTCCAGCCAGTGAACAACTAGGACTTTCCACCAGAGCTTCCAGCCTGTGAACAACCAGGACTTTCCACCAGAGCTTCCAGCCTGTGAACAACCAGGACTTTCCACCCGAGCTTCCAGCCAGTGAACAACTAGGACTTTCCACCAGAGCTTCCAGCCTGTGAACAACTAGGACTTTCCACCAGAGCTTCCAGCCTGTGAACAACCAGGACTTTCCACCAGAGCTTCCAGCCTGTGAACAACCAGGACTTTCCACCCGAGCTTCCAGCCTGTGAACAACCAGGACTTTCCACCAGAGCTTCCAGCCAGTGAACAACCAGGACTTTCCACCCGAGCTTCCAACCAGTGAACAAGTAGGACTTTCCACCAGAGCTTCCAGCCTGTGAACAACCAGGACTTTCCACCAGAGCTTCCAGCCTGTGAACAATCAGGACTTTCCACCAGAGCTTCCAGCCAGTGAACAACCAGGACTTTCCACCAGAGCTTCCAGCCAGTGAACAACCAGGACTTTCCACCAGAGCTTCCAGCCTGTGAACAACCAGGACTTTTCACCAGAGCTTCCAGCCTGTGAACAACTAGGACTTTCCACCAGAGCTTCCAGCCAGTGAACAACTAGGACTTTCCACCAGAGCTTCCAGCCTGTGAACAACCAGGACTTTCGACCAGAGCTTCCAGCCTGTGAACAACCAGGACTTTCCACCAGAGCTTCCTGCCTGTGAACAACCAGGACTTTCCACCAGAGCTTCCAGCCAGTGAACAACCAGGACTTTCCACCAGAGCTTCCAGCCAGTGAACAACCAGGACTTTCCACCAGAGCTTCCAGCCTGTGAACAACCAGGACTTTCCACCAGAGCTTCCAGCAAGTGAACAACTAGGACTTTCCACCAGAGCTTCCAGCCTGTGAACAACCAGGACTTTCCACCAGAGCTTCCAGCCTGTGAACAACCAGGACTTTCCACCAGAGCTTCCAGCCTGTGAACAACTAGGACTTTCCACCAGAGCTTCCAGCCTGTGAACAACTATGATTTTCCAACAGAGCTTCCAGCTAGTAAACAAAAAGGACATTCCATTAGAGCTTCCAGCTGGTGAACAAAGATGAAGAAGATAAGATATCTGGTAGCAGACCACTGAGTTATTTTGTCCAATAGTGTCGTACTGTGGCAAAAATGGCAAACTAAAAAATGTAAAACAGCAGAATAAAAACACATATAGTCCATGGGTGCTGGATTGGCTGGTGAAGTTCTCAAAGAAAGATATGCATAACTAACTAACGTATACATACCCCATGCATTAACTGCTGCCTGTTTTGGTCCCTCATCTCAATCATGGATGTCGGCCGCATGCCACTTGACCTCAGCGATGGTGACCTGGGGATGCTGTTGTCATAGACATCATCTGAATGTCCCTGGTCACCTTCCTCATTGTTATTGTCAGGCTGGTCTCCCGAGTCGAAACCATTAAACATCATCGGTGAAAAGTCTTGACTCAAAACACGTAAGTTTGCATTCTCACGCATCAGACAGTCAACCTGGCAAACAGAACATTCAATAATAAAAGTTTCACCTGTGAGCCAGGTTTTTTCCTGGTGTGCAAAATATTACTCAACAAATAAAACATATCAGAGTTAATCCAACAAACAAACAAAAAAACAATCAACTGTAATAGTCAAACATGACATGATCAACTTGAATATGAAAACAACAGTCTGGCACAGAAACCATTCTAATAGCTGACTTGGCGAGCAAATTATTCAATGAAACAAGGTAATATATTCAAACTAGCTAATAAAATATTCATGAATCCAGCCGCTAGATCAAATCATTGAACAATCCAATTAGCAGGTTAGATTTTATTCAAACTGGAAATTAAAACTTTAGGCTTACAAGTTTACCACTAGTTTGACTTGAAATGTGTTGCCAGTTCAAATCTGGCATATATTAACCAACAACAAATAGACATGCCAATGGCCTTGACTTTAAACAAAAATGTTGTATTATAGCTCTATGCAACACAACAGTGGACACAGGGCATCTTATGGACTATCAGAAGCTAAAGATGGGGAACTAGTGAAAGAAATCTCTCTCTCTCTCTCTCTGGCAGGATGTATGAAACTTCAGACTTGAGGATATATGGCATGGACTATCAGAAGCTGAAGGTGGTGAACTGGTGAGAGAAATCTCTCTGGCGTGCTAGCAGAAGGTGATAGTGAGCCTGGCCTTATATTTTGTTCCCTTCAAGTCCAATCTGGCATAAAGCTAACAGATTAATTAATCTGCTAGATTAACTTGCCAGATATCTTTCCAGTCTTCAATTCCAAGCTGGCAAATGCCAAACTGGCAACTGCAAACCCATGAACTTAGGAAAGTGGCCTGATCTTTTTCTTGAAACTGGCATTAGTAAACAGAATCAGTGTGGCCTTACCTTTTTCTCCAATTCCAGTTTGGCCTGCACCAGATGTTTAATTGTTGCTTCAGATGCTGCCAGGGCTCGTTTGACTTCCTGCATCTCTTCAACAGAAACAGGAATCTCAGGGTGGTGCTCACCCATACTCTGAAACATCAACTATCAATTCTACTGATTGTTTACAAACTGCCAATTACTGCCTTTATTTTACCACTTTTGCGATGTAGGCAGAGGGATCTTTGAGCCTGAGGATTTACGGCTGCATGGCTAGTGCTGTCGCCATGGACTGTGCAGGTGAGGGTTTCATTTTGCCCCCGACAGAAAAATCCTCAGCCTTATTGAGGATTTGAAGCCGGGTCTCCAGCTTGAGAGCCCAGCGTTCTAACAGTTCAGTCAGCTGTTCCTTGTTTCAAACAAGAACATTTTATTCTATCTGCCTTTTTTTAATTCAACAAAAGTATAAAAAATCACAATAGTTCTGAAACTTCAACGAGGAGCCCTTCAAAAGAGACCAGTAAATACTGCAGTATATATATATATATATATATATATATATATGCCAGCTGCCTTTACTTTCCAAGTAACTTCCTGGTGCCCATTTAGGCCTGGATGAAATCCTTAAAAAAGAGATTCCAACACAAGACCACCTGGCTGGCAAAAGTCATGCCAACCACCAACCCCCATGAAGTACAGTATCGGTCACAATTTTCCGGTTGTCAAGTCAGAAAACCAAACTACAAGCCTCACCTCAGTGGTGATATCAGACAAACCAAACTACAAGCCTCACCTCAGTGGTGATATCAGACAAACCGAACTACAAGCCTCACCTCAGTGGTGATATCAGACAAACCAAACTACAAGCCTCACCTCAGTGGTGATATCAGACAAACCAAACTACAAGCCTCACCTCAGTGGTGATATCAGACAAACCAAACTACAAGCCTCACCTCAGTGGTGATATCAGACAAACCAAACTACAAGCCTCACCTCAGTGGTGATATCAGACAAACCAAACTACAAGCCTCACCTCAGTGGTGATATCAGACAAACCAAACTACAAGCCTCACCTCACTGGTGATATCAGACAAACCAAACTACAAGTCTCACCTCAGTGGTGATTTCGTACAAACTAAACTACAAGTCTCACCTCAGTGGTGATATCAGACAAACCAAACTACAAGTCTCACCTCAGTGGTGATATCAGACAAACTAAACTACAAGCCTCACCTCACTGGTGATTTCAGACAAACTAAACTACAAGCCTCACCTCACTGGTGATATCAGACAAACTAAACTACAAGCCTCACCTCACTGGTGATATCAGACAAACCAAACTACAAGCCTCACCTCACTGGTGATATCAGACAAACCAAACCACAAGTCTCACCTCAGTGGTGGTATAAGACAAAATAAACTACAAGTCTCACCTCAGTGGTGATATCAGACAAACCAAACTACAAGTCTTACCTCTGTGGTGGCATCAGACAAACCAAACTACAAGTCTCACCTCAGTGGTGGTATCAGACAAACTAAACTACAAGCCTCACCTCACTGGTGATATCAGACAAACTAAACTACATGCCTCACCTCACTGGTGATATCAGACAAACCAAACTACAAGTTTCACCTCAGTGGTGATATCAGACAAACCAAATTACAAGCCCCTACCTCAGTGGTGATATCAGACAAACCAAACTACAAGCTTCACATCAGTGGTGATTCATACAAACCAAACTACAAGCTTCACATCAGTGGTGATTCATACAAACCAAACTACAAGTCTCACCTCAGTGGTGATGTCAGACAAAATAAACTACAAGTCTCACCTCAGTGGTGATATCAGACAAAATAAACTACAAGTCTCACCTCAGTGGTGATGTCAGACAAACCAAACTACAAGTCTCACCTCAGTGGTGATATCAGACAAAATAAACTACAAGTCTCACCTCAGTGGTGATATCAGACAAACCAAACTACAAGTCTCCCCTCAGTGGTGATATCAGACAAACCAAACTACAAGCCTCACCTCAGTGGTGATATCAGACACACTAAACTACAAGCCTCACCTCACTGGTGATATCAGACAAACCAAACTACAAGCCTCACCTCACTGGTGATTTCGTACAAACTAAACTACAAGCCTCACCTCACTGGTGATATCAGACAAACCAAACTACAAGTCTCACCTTGGTGGTGATATCAGACAAACCAAACTACAAGCCCCCACCTCAGTGGTGTCAACAGACAAACCAAACTACAAATCTCACCTCAGTGGTGATATCAGATAAACCAAACTACAAGCTCCCACTTCAGTGGTGATATCAGACAAACCAAACTACAAGTCTCACATCAGTGGTGATATCAGACAAAATAAACTACAAGTCTCACCTCAGAGGCAATGTCAGGCCTCATCTCTTCCCTCACACTTTTAATACTCTGAGTGTCAATGCTGCTGTAGTCCTCGTCTGATGCTACGCTGTCGTAGAGTGGTTCATCGTCACTGATTGTGGTCATTCTTTGAGAGTTTCGACCCAGCTTGTCTATGACACACAAAACATTCTGAACTGGATGAAGAAATCAAACCATAAACTAAACTGGGTGGCTTTTAAAAAACAGGGCAGCTAGGTCCAACTCAGCAGGTGTTTTTTTTAAATTGAAATATAAACTGAACTTGGTGGGTTACCTAAAACAGACTAAACTGGGTATTTTAAAAACTAAAACTAAACTGAATAGTTTAACTAAAACTAATCTGGCTGGTTTAACTACAACTAAACTGGGTGGTTTAACTACTAAAACTAATCTGGGTGTTTTAACCAAACCACCCAGTCTCTCTATAGGTACACATGCCCGCTCCCCTCCCATCACCAAGCATGCCATGACCACCAAGGTGTAGCATAATTGTAACCGATAATGGGAGTTTCACAGGAGTTTGTGGCTGGCATGACTTTTGCCAGCCAGGTGGTCTTGTGTTAGAATCTCTTTTTCATGGATTTTATCCAGACCAAAAGTGACTTATTGAGGGCTTGCTGAATTCGGATGGCTGGGCCAAGAGGTGAAGCCTAGCTGTAAACCGCAACATAGTTTGCTAACAACACAGTTAAGGATGAATGCAGCAGAAGTAATGACTAAAATTTGCATGTCCTTGACCTTGAACTTCTGCAGACTTACAGTTCTAGATGTGGAGAAGCTGGGTTGGTGGCAATTAATGAGCACATCCACTGGAGTTCCCGTTTTTACAGGCCCCTCCTTCAAGGGAAAGCATCACGCCCTGTTGTTGAACTCAGGGTCTGGTGTCTTAACTTGGACAAACATTTGTGTACAATGTATTACTTCCTCCAGACACAGGTCACCGAAGTCAGTGTGCTCTAAGTCCTCATGGGCAGATTTTCTTCTCTAACAATTCTGCAGGGGTAGCAGTGGCCTCCAAATGCCCCAACACAGATTTTCTTCCTTAACAACTCTGCCATGGTAGCAGACTCCATATTCCCATGGGAAGATTCCTTAACAACTCTGCCATGGTAGCAGACTCCATATTCCCATGGGAAGATTCCTTAACAACTCTGCCATGGTAGCAGACTCCATATTCCCATGGGAAGATTCCTTAACAACTCTGCCATGGTAGCAGACTCCATATTCCCATGGGAAGATTCCTTAACAACTCTGCCATGGTAGCAGACTCCATATTCCCATGGGAAGATTCCTTAACAACTCTGCCATGGTAGCAGACTCCATATTCCCATGGGAAGATTCCTTAACAACTCTGCCATGGTAGCAGACTCCATATTCCCATGGGAAGATTCCTTAACAACTCTGCCATGGTAGCAGACTCCATATTCCCATGGGAAGATTCCTTAACAACTCTGCCATGGTAGCAGACTCCATATTCCCATGGGAAGATTCCTTAACAACTCTGCCATGGTAGCAGACTCCATATTCCCATGGGAAGATTCCTTAACAACTCTGCCATGGTAGCAGACTCCACATTCCCATGGGAAGATTCCTTAACAACTCTGCCATGGTAGCAGACTCCACATTCCCATGGGAAGATTCCTTAACAACTCTGCCATGGTAGCAGACTCCACATTCCCATGGGAAGATTCCTTAACAACTCTGCCATGATAGCAGACTTCACATTCCAATAGGTAAATTTTTTCCTTAACAAATCGGCCAGGATAAAATACTTCATATTCCCATGGGAAGATTCATTAACTCTTTGAGTCCCAGGGGGTTTAGCATCACATGCCCAGGGGGTAGTAAAGAAAGTAATAAAATCAGCGCATCATGCGTTCATTGGGCTTCGAGGTAGGAACCTATGAACGTATGAAGCGTTCCTTGGGACTCAAAGAGTTAACAACTCTGCCATGGTAGCAGACTCCATATTCCCATGGGTAGATTTTTTCCCTTAACAATTCTGTCATGGTAGCAGACTCCATATTCCCATGGGTAGATTTTCTCCCTTAACAATTCTGTCATGGTAGCAGACTCCGTATTGCCACCATACTGCTGAAAGATCTGTGTTGTATCCAGCATCCCATTTTAGGAGGTACAAAGAATCAGATCTGTAGGCCAGAAGGTGCAGATATTCCAGCCATGCTATCATCCACAAGATAATGTGCCAATCTCCCCTTCTACAGAGAAACGTAGAAGAGGATACACCTAAAACACTTTCAACAAACAGGTACGACCACCTGACAGAATACCTGGATCTTTGATTGTGTGTAGCGGGGAAGTGATTCCTGTCTGTCTCCGCCTGGCATCGTACAGGATATCTACCACCAAAGTTGCAAACTCTCTGGCATTAAACCGTGCCAATTTCTGCCGACCCTGAATCAGTAGAAAGGAAAGCAGTAGAGAAATGTCAGTGACAAATATTATGTGGAAATTAGTGTCTGTACATACACTGTGATTCTTACAGGTTACAGAGAGTTGGTGCACTGTGCTCAAATTCTCCCAATAGATCAAGTGGAAAAGCCCACAACATATTGACAGGGATATCAGAATGGAACAAACAGGGATATCAAAATGGAACAAGGGTGGACATTTAGCACTATAGATTAGAAATACAAGTATATAATTTTCTCCTCCCACTATCTACACTCTCTCTCTCTCTCCCTCTGTGTGTGTGTGTGTGTGTGTGTGTGTGTGTAAAGATCACCACACTAGGCACTGTAAACATATACTACTGGAAACATATGTTTATAATTTCTCCTTTTCTCTGTTGCCACACTAGACAGTTATAAACTTGAACTGATAGAAACAAATGTTTATAATGTTCTCTTTCTCTCTGATCCCCACGCTAGACACTTATAAACCTGAATGAATGGACAGAAATATATTACTGTGTTCTCCTTCCTGTGGTGACACTACTGACTTACCTGATTACGAGTGGTGGAGAGTTCGGGGTTGACAGGCAGGTGTGGGACAGTTAGTCTCTCACTCAGTACTGACGTGTGGTCATGAGTGGACAGCCACACTGCTCAGAGAAGACACAAGCAGAGCAAAACAAGACTGTCAATACATCGTACAAAACAGAACAAGGGGTGGGTCTGAAAGGGTTGGAAGGCAAAGGGGTTACCTTCACTGTGCCTGGTTTGATCCCATATGGCTTAAGAGATCCCATATGGCTTAAAAGATCCCATTTGGCTTGAGAGATCCCATATGGTTTAAGAGAGCTGTATAAAGCACAAACTGTAGAGCTCTAGCAATGATTCCTAGGGACAGCCAAAATACCTGCACTTGTGAACCAAATAATAGTATGTGAAATTAAACCCACAACCTCAACAGTAGGATGCAAATAATTGAACCACTTGACCTCGGAGATGTCCTAAGAAAGCTGAGCTCACATAATAACCACTTGGCCATGGAGACATTCCAGAAGATACTGCACACACAATAACCACTTGGTCATAGACACATTCTAGAGAGGACAAACAATAACCATGTAGCCATGGAGACATTCTAGAGAGGACACACAATAACCATTTGGCCATGGAGACATTCTAGAAGAAACACCACACACAATAACCACTTGGTCATGGAGACATTCTAGAAGACACAGCACACACAATAACCACTTGGTCATGGAGACATTTTAGAGAGGACACACAATAACCACTTGGTCATGGAGACATTTTAGAGAGGACACACAATAACCACTTGGCTATGGACACATTCCAGAAGATACTGCACACACAATAACCACTTGGTCATGGAGACATTTTAGAGAGGACACACAATAAACACTTGGCCATGGACACATTCCAGAAGATACTGCACACACAATAACCACTTGGTCATAGACACATTCTAGAGAGGACAAACAATAACCATGTAGCCATGGAGACATTCTAGAGAGGACACACAATAACCATTTGGCCATGGAGACATTCTAGAAGAAACAGCACACACAATAACCACTTGGTCATGGAGACATTCTAGAAGACACAGCACACACAATAACCACTTGGTCATGGAGACATTTTAGAGAGGACACACAATAACCACTTGGTCATGGAGACATTTTAGAGAGGACACACAATAACCACTTGGTCATGGAGACATTCTAGAGAGGACACATAATAACCACTTGACCATAGAGACATTCTAGAGAGGACACACAATAACCACTTGACCATAGAGACATTCTAGAGAGCACACACAAAAATACCACTTGACCATAGAGACATTCTAGAGAGGACACACAATAACCACTTGGCCATAGAGACATTCTAGAGAAGACACACAACAAAGACTTGGCCACGGAGACATTCTAGAGAGCACCCAAAAAAATACCACTTGGACATGGAGACGTTCTAGATAGCACACACAAAAATACCAATTGGCCATGGAGACATTCTTGAAAGGACACAACAAATACTTGACCATGGAGACATTTTAGAAGACACAGCACACATAATAACCACTTGGCCATGGAGAAATTCTTGTTAAATGTTGAAATTTGCATTAAGAATCGACATCATAGCACACAGGACACCCCCATAAGTAGAAACATTCTAGAGAGGACCAACAATAACCACTTGGCCATGGGGACATTCTAGAAGAAAGAAGACACACAATAACCACTTGTACACGGAAATATTCTTGAGAGGAAAAACAATAACCAGTTGGCCATGGAGACATTCTAGAAGACATAGCACATACACTAACCACTCTGACATGGAGACATTCTAGAGAGAACACACAATAACCATGTAGCCATGGAGACATTCTAGATAGGACACACAATAACCATTTGGCCGTGGAGACATTCTAGAATACACAGCACACACAATAACCACTTGGTCATGGAGACATTTTAGAGAGGACACACAATAACCACTTGGTCATGGAGACATTTTAGAGAGGACACACAATAACCACTTGGTCATGGAGACATTTTAGAGAGGACACACAATAACCACTTGGTCATGGAGACATTTTAGAGAGGACACACAATAACCACTTGGTCATGGAGACATTCTAGAGAGGACACACAATAACCACTTGGTCATGGAGACATTCTAGAGAGCACACACAAAAATACCACTTGGCCATGGAGACATTCTAGAGAGCACACACAAAAATACCACTTGGCCATGGAGACATTCTTGAGAGGACACAACAAATACTTGGCCATGGAGACATTTTAGACACAGCACACATAATAACCACTTGGCCATGGAGAAATTCTTGTTAAATGTTGAAATTTGCATTAAGAATTGACATCATAGCACACAGGACACCCCCATAAGTAGAAACATTCTAGAAAGGACCAACAATAACCACTTGGCCATGGAGACATTCTAGAAGAAAGAAGACACACAATAAATACTTGTAAACGGAAATATTCTTGAGAGGAAAAACACTAACCACTCGGACATGGAGACATTCTAGAGAAGACAAACAATAACCACTTTACCATGGGGACATTCTAGAGAGGACAAACAATAACCACTTGGCCATGGAGACATTCTAGAGAGGACACACAATAACCACTTGACCATGGAGACATTCTAGAGAGGACACATAATAACCACTTGGCCATAGAGACATTCTATCAGAGGACACATAATAACCACTTGGCCATGGAGACATTCTAGAGAGGACAAACAATAACCACTTGATCATGGAGACATTCTAGAAGACAAAGCACACACAATAACCACTTGTTAAAAGAAAAGAAACAAATAGTTATCCGATATTTCATTTTTTTTTTAGTGAGGAGAAGCTGGTACACCTAAAAACATTCGATGACACGTAAGCAAAAGAATGGTTAACTGACTGGCTGAACATTAAGGCATTTTTGTGTGCAGCTTGAACATTTTCACTCATTAAATTATAGTTTCTTCTTATTCTTCGCGTTCACCGGCTGTAAACTTGGGTGGAAAGTTCCGGTTGTTCATCCACTTCTGTCTTTTTTCCAGAACATGATTATTACATGTGCATCCGTTTTACAGATATGACAACTGCATGTAGCTGTTGGTTCCTTGTCTCTCAGGCAGGTGCATTTCGACTTCAAAGAAAACCCCTAATTAGTCAACTTTTACAACATGCTTGCTGGGAAGGCAGTCAGTCCATTCTTGTTTCCCCCCCCCCCCCCTGCCCCACCCTCCCACAAGATGGCCCCGGGACCCACTTGGGGGAACAACAAACAGCTTGAGTGACAAAATTATGGCAAAATTATCTTCCTTTCAGTGGCTATGTGTCAAAGGAAAAAAAAGAACATATATATATAGACATACATTGGTGTAAATGAAGGTTTAACATGAAAATAAAACATACCAGCATCATTTTCTCGTCTGTCAACCTCATCATAAACATCCATTGCCAATTCTTCAAATAAATGATTTGGAAGCTGCAAAACAAACATGAAAGAGAAACTAAAGTCAGTTTTCGTTTTATACAAATTCATATCAAAACTGACCATGCTAATCAAACAAGGAAATAAACTGGTTCAACTGTCTTTTGAATAATTAATTTGATTCCATGAGTCATGTGACAATGACTTTCACCATGGAATGCACTTCTAAATCACTTGGAGCTTAAACCCACAAAGTTAATCACTGAATCCTTTTACCCCAGAAACTCTTGGGATAAAAACCTATGATACCTAGAATTCTTCCCCCAAAATCATTTTAAAAACAGCCATGTTACATAGGCCACTAATACATTTGTTAAAAATGTAATGATTTACATTTAGTTTTTAAAATTATTATTATTGACAAACATAAAATGGGAGTAATCAATTTAAATGAAAAAAGTGGAGAGTTAAATTGATTTTCCTGGGCCTAAAAAAACAATACAGACAGTACCTCATACATGACTCACATCCCTGTCACTATGCAACAGCTAAGGTAAATTATCATAATAGCTTTAAAATCAAAAACTGCTATTTTCAGTAAATATAATCATGTCCAGGGCCTCCTTAACACAGCAAGTGCAAACAGAGCCAATGCCATCAATTTGCCATGTTGGGTACATGTCAATGCAATTGTGCCAGTCTTGCAGGGATTAGTAAACAGTGTGTAATGCCAGATTAGAGATTAACAGAAGAAAAGAACTGACGTCTTGAATGAACATATTTCTCTTCAATCTGCTTCCTTAGTTTTGTTTCGTTTACTGTACAGTTTTGAGGTAGATAACTGTTCACGCAGTGCATATACTAAAATCGGTATGATACAGAGAAGGTAAGCATGGCCCCTGCGCAAGGATGATAAACAAATTCATGAAGCGTTCCATATTTTTTAGGTGGCTGCGTGGTCTCGAGACATGGTGTCGGCCTCGAGTGCTAGAGGTTCCGGGTTCAATTGCCTGTAAGGGCTGGGATTTTTTCACGTGGACTTGGACTTCAAGTAATTTGCCCCTGGTCTCTGGGTTGTGACATTGGACGCCCGTGTGCATTGTTGCGCACATAAAAAATCCCTTGGCAGTTGGAAATCAGAAAGAATAGCTTAACAGCGCTGCCCAGGGCTAATTGGAGTAAAAAAATCTACCCAAAGTATTTCAGGATCCTCGCAGGTGCTACAGAGCCTGTGCACTGTGCTGAGCTTCTTCGGACTCAGACTTGAGTTAGAAGAAGAACAGAGCACTTATGGGTTACTACCCGTGTGCCATGATGTTGACCCTTTGTTCAAAACCTCAAACTGGTGCCATTTCCAACACTGAGTTTTCTTATTGCTTTGTTTCTTATTGTTCACTGATGAAGGCTTCTTACTGGAGCTAGCTTTGTTTTAGTGACTGGTCGACCAGTGGCCTTGAAAACTCAGTCCTACATAAAATCACCAGCAGGTCCTTCTTGTGTGTCCAACAGGGCCTGGAAGAGGCGCTTGTATGTTTCAAAGACTCCAAGAGCTTGTCTACTGGAAGGGTCTTTTATGTTGGAGACATCAAGTGATAGAAATCTGATAAACAGCGACACAACCTTGTTGCAACACAACCTTGCTGTGATACAACCTTGCTGTGACACAAACTTGCTGCGACACAACCTTGCTACTCTGCAACTAGACTGGGGACAGTTAAACATACAATGCATGGGGTGACTTTCTAGAAACAGTCTAAACATCAGAAGCAGTGAACCACAGAAGCAGCAAAACTGTGTAAGGTAACTTGAGCCATGATGCAGATGATGATGACGATTACGATCAACCTAAGCCGATGAAAGAATGTTTTACTTTGACTGGATAGTTATAAAAACAACTACAGGACCCAAAACAAAACCCCATAACTTACCGCCTGGAGCTTTTTCTTGGCTTGCTTCGCCAGTTCAGAGAGATCGGCACTACTGCAAATGGAACCAAACACATTTTTTTTATTAAGCACTGAAAACTTGGCTGAATGTTAACTACTCCATAACAATGTAAGGATAGTAACATATACCCTAGACATTGTGGGTGTGGGGAAAGTCTCTTACTTCTACTGTAGTCTGAGTGCTGTTGGCTTTTTGCTCATGGCTGCCAGTATAACTGTATGCTCAATTATCTCCCTCCAGCCCCTGAAGTTATTCTATAATCTTCTCTCTCTCTCTCTCTCTCTTTCTAGGTCATCTTTTGCTACATCTTCTTCTCCATCATTTCTGACACAAAAGATCTCACTTCAGGTCATTATGTCAGTCTAGAATCTTCTTTCTCTCTCTAGAACATTTTCTGCCACACTACATCAGTGTTTTGAACAACACAACACACAGACAAAGAGACAAACAAACTGACCTGTCACCCAGCTCAGGAATCTTGAAATGAACCCCGGATCTATGATCTGTTGTCGAAAGTGAACATAAATGATAGTCATTTATAAATGGGAGGTTAATTTCTGTATTCAAATTTAGTTTCTGAAAATTAAAAAAAGGGGCACGTCAAATTTCAATGTTAACAATCTTAGTTTCTCTAAATATGTGTAACTTCTATTTTCAGCAATCTTAATTATTACAAGGGCAGATGTATATATAATTACTCTAAGAGAGATGTGTAAATAATTACTCTAAGGGAGATGTGAAACTTCTATTGCTTTAATTTTAATTGCTCTAAGGGAGATATGTATATAATTACTCTAAAGGAGATGTGTTTTTAATTACTCTAAAGGAGATGTGAATATAATTACTCTAAGGGAAATGTATTTATAATTACTATAAGAGAGATGTATATATAATTACTCTGAGGGAGATACGTGTATAATTACTCTAAGGGAGATGTGTTCATAATTACTCTAAGGGAAATGTATTTATAATTACTATAAGAGAGATGTATATATAATTACTCTGAGGGAGATATGTGTATAATTACTCTAAGGGAGATGTGTTGATAATTACTCTAAGGGAGATGTATTCATAATTACTCTAAGGGAGATGTGTTGATAATTAAGGGAGATGTGTATATAATTACTCAAAGGGAGATGTGTTCATAATTACTCTAAGGGAGATGTGTATGTAACTACTCTAAGGGAGATGTGTTCATAATTACTCTAAGGGAGATGTGTTCATAATTACTCTTAGGGAGATGTGTTGATAATTACTCTAAGGGAGATGTGTTGATAATTACTCTAAGGGAGATGTGTTGATAATTCTCTAAGGGAGATGTGTATATAATTACTCAAAGGGAGATGTGTTCATAATTACTCTAAGGGAGATGTGTTCATAATTACTCTATGGGAGATGTGTATATAACTTCTCTAAGGGAGATGTGTTCATAATTACTCTAAAGGAGATGGGTTCATAATTACTCTAAGGAAGATGTGTAACCTGAGCCCGGTGAAGTTTCTACAGCAGTTTTCAAGGGTTTGTAACTATGGATCTCTGAAACAGCTGTTTCCAACAGTCTGTAACATTGGATATTTGAAATAGCTGTTTTCAACGGTGTGTAACTATGGATCTCTGAAACACCCGTTTCCAACCATTTATAACTGTGAATCTCTGAAACAGCCATTTCCAACTGTTTGTAACTATGGATCTCTGAAACACCCGTTTCCAATGGTTTGTAACTATGGATCTCTGAAACACCCGTTTCCAATGGTTTGTAACTATGGATCTCTGAAACACCCGTTTCCAATGGTTTGTAACTATGGATCTCTGAAACACCCGTTTCCAATGGTTTGTAACTATGAATCTCTGAAACACCCGTTTCCAATGGTTTGTAACTATGGATCTCTGAAACAGCTGTTTCCAACCGTTTGTAACTATGGATCTCTGAAACAGCTGTTTCCAACGGTGTGTAACTATGGGTCTCTGAACACCGTTTCCAACGGTGTGTAGCTATGGATCTCTGAAACAGCTGTTTCCAACAGTTTGTAACTATGTCTCTGAAACAGCCACTTCCAACGGTTTGTAACTATGGATCTCTGAAACAGCTGTTTCCAAGGGTTTGTAACTATGATCTCTAAAACAGCTGTAGAGGTCCTATCCTGATGTAAAAGTGACACAGGGAGAAGACAACTCTGGATGACACAGAAAAAAGAACACCAGCTGACCTGGTTTTCGCCCACAGATGTAAAAGGTCAATCGATCGGTCAGTTCATACTGCAGTTCAATAAGTCTGTCAGCCACGTCTGGAAAACCTTCCGCTCTGAAAACAGACATGTTTGAAACCATTAATTTTATTTTTCAAATATTAAACTATCTAACACATATTTTTTTATCTGCAAATATGAAATGAGTATAAGAATTCAAAAACAGACACTTTTCCATGGTAAGCAGCCAGTGTCAGACACCTTCTGTATTTTCTGACTATGAACTCTGACCCTGAAATCTGGCATCCCAATGTGGGTCCGGGGCTCCATTTTAGGGAACATAAGAACAGACCCAGTGCTTCCACAACAAACATGTCAATACATCTGATTGATTGGGAGCTTCCATTGAGGTCGGAGAGCATTTGCCTGAGATCTGCACGGAACCAGAAGTCTGCATACAAATGAGTCAGATTTGTAAGATGTGCACACAATACTCAGGGCCTGGATCAATACTAAATAAAGTCCAGAGGTGGACAACCAACCAGAACTTTCTGCTGGAGTTTACAGCTCGTGAAAGGGAAGAAAAAGAACTCTGGCAGAACGCCCAAACCGCTTGCCCTACCAAAGACTTTGGTTTTGTTCCAAAGATCTTAAAAAAAATTACCTTTCCGTAAAAGGTGTTAAAAATGAACACATCCTTACAATTCTCAGAAACTCTAACCTAGGAAACTACAGAAAGAGAAGAAGTAGCAGAAGAAAATGAGATTCCTGGTAAGTTTTTATACAAATCTGGGTGTTCAAACCTATAACCACCGATTAGAGAGGCAAGTGTGCTAGCCACTGCAAAATCACTGTCCACAGCTCCAGAATTTATTACACAAATGTTGGACATTTTTGTTAACAACATCGGTATAGCACCAAATAAAGGGAAGCAATCAACAGGAAGTGGTTGTACAAAACAAGATATTTAAAATAAAAAGGGACATAAGTGTTAAATAAAGCAGGAAGGAGTCACAGACACACAGAGACAACGTAGAAGGAAGCAATGAAGGATTTAAAATAAAAACCATAAATAGATACTTACTTGGCATAATCATATGGTGTGCGTCCATTTGCATCCCTGGCCCCTGGGTCTGCCCCATACACACACAGCAGCTCCACCTGCGAGGTCTGGCCAGCCTGGGCTGCCACGTGGATGGGACTGTTGCCTTTTTCCTGCGGTCACAAATTTGGATACAATCAAACTCCCTGCATGAATTATGAGGGGGGAAGGAGAGATACATCAATGTCAGTCCCTGCAATCACATGTCTGGTACAATCAATGTCCCTTTCTGCAGTCACATGTTTGATACAATCAATGTTCCTTCTTGCAGTCACAAGGTTTGATACAATCAATGTTCCTTCCTGCAGTCACATATTTGATACAATCAATGTCACTCCCTGCAGTCACATGTCTGGTACAATCAATGTCACTCCCTACAGTCACATGTCTGGTACAATTAATGTCACCTCCTGCAGTCACATGTATGATACAATCAATGTCACTCCCTGCAGTCATATGTTTGGTACAATCAATGCCTCTTCCTGCAGTCACACGTTTGATACAATCAATGTCACTCCCTGCAGTCACATGTTGGATACAATCAATGTCACTCCCTGCAGTCACATGTTTGGTACAATCAGTGTCACTTCCTGCAGTCACATGTTGGATACAATCAATGTCACTCCCTGCAGTCACATGTTTGGTACAATCAGTGTCACTTCCTGCAGTCACATGTTGGATACAATCAATGTCACTCCCTGCAGTCACATGTTTGGTACAATCAATTCCCCTTCCTGCAGTCACACGTTGGATACAATCAATGTCACTCCCTGCAGTCACATGTTGGGTACAATCAATGTCACTTCCTGCAGTCACATGTTTGATACAATCAATGTCACTTCCTGCAGTCACATGTTGGATACAATCAATGTCACTTTCTGCGACAATTATGGAGGCCAGTTTGGGTGGGGGATGGGAAGAATATCCATAACATAAAGTTGTCTTTGCTTCTGCAAGTACATACAACTTACCTTATGAAAATAGTTTGGGTCAGCACCTTTCGACAGCAGACGTAAGCAAGTCTCCACATTATTTGTTCTGACACTGGAGTGCAGTTCCTAGGAAGATCAAATAGTGATGTATTAGTACACCAATTACTCCTGCGGTGTTATATCACCCACCTGAACCTGGGTCTCACCCACCTGAACCTGGGTCTCACCACATGAACTCAGGCTTCACTCACCTTAACCTGGGCCTAACCCACCTGAACCCGGGCCTCCCCCACCTGAATCTCGGCCTCATCCACCTGAACCTGGAAATCAAACAACTAAACCTGGGAACCTAGGAATACAATCCCCCCCCCCCCCCCCCCCAAAACCCCACCAAACTACACTTCATCAAACTCCACACACACATTATGTTTTACAGAATGTCAGTGGACTTTTTTCTCTGTGGACTTTATTTTCAGTAATCTGAAAAAGCACATTTGTGTGGCTTCAAAAGATTTCTCTAATCTGAGGTTTACCAACAAGTTGTTGCCCATTCACAGCCGTATATTACTACTGGGTCTAGATAAGCATGACCTGTCTAATGATGACGTGTGGCATACAATGCTGAGCTTGACAACATCCAAGGACAAGACAACAACTCACCCGGCTCACATCGTCCAGGGAGCTGGCATCACTATCTTTATGTTTGTTCACAAATGATAAGAACTGGTACTTGGATCTGATGAAATCTGATTTGTTTGGGCTGAGAAATAAAATAAATGATTTATTTTATAAATGAAGCACACAAAGGCAATAATACAGTCAAGGCATCCATGTGTACAATTGGTGGCTTTAAATGCTCTTTGACTGTCCCCTTCTTTTGTCAAGCCTTTAGACCCCAAAGGAGCACAGGTGCCCACCCAACAAAGGCCAAGGCAAACCCATCCTTTGCTGCCATATGTAACACAACCTGTGTCCTACCCATCTTTTTATTCTCTCTTCTCCATTTGTGTATGTTTTTTTAAATTGGTCTGCCTTTATTTCTTCCACTGTGTCAGTTCCAGAGCAAGAAAATCTGATGGTTGATTCTGATATCAGGTCTTCTCAACATGTGTCTGTGCCTAGCCTCTTGATTCATGACATTTATTTCTTTCCTTTGTCAGTGAATAGTTATTATCAACTGTCATCTATTCAGACACATACATGTTTAACTTATGGAACCTTGTGTATTTAACTTTCATATACTCAGTATCTGAACACATGCTGAAACAGCTCAACATGGGTCAATGTATAACATCAACAAGGACAATTTATCGCAAACATATGAAAGGTGCAGTTTTGTGTGTGTGACATAATCAGAAAAAGACAAAATGTAACAGCAGGAAATATTCATGAAAAAACAGTCAAGATGAAAACAATAAACAGACTTTTAACAACCTTTCACCATGGCGTCAAAAAAAAAAAATAGCACATGAAATGATACACTCTACTGGACATCCCAAAATGTGTGGAGATATGATCGGGGACATCAGTTGCTTGAAAGCACTTGATGATGATGTCACCAAAGGTATTCATTGCTCATTTGTGATTTCTAAAGAATAAACCTCACAAAAAAGTTTTGATTTGAACAAACCAACTCCAACTGTGCAACACTTCTCATTAGAGTGCCCCCTGCACTACTGTGGTGTGGATCACCTCAAGTCGCCGTGAAGATTCTATGGAGAAACACATCAGAGTGGAATCTAGTGTTACTGTGACCCTTGATAAACACTGTCCAAAAACTGTCCATGTGTTGTTGCAGTCCACCAGGGAAGCATCAACTCTAACAACTCAACTATGCATGTTGTAAGAGGCAATGCAGGAAGGCTGACCAATCATAAACCAATCACCACATTACATAACACCCATAACCTAGAATATGTGAAAAGCAATCACTTCACAGCCCAGCCCATGTGGTTACTTGTAGTTCAGGCACCAACAATGAGATTGACAACTGCTTTAATATCCTAGCAGCACTTACTGAAGAGCCTCACGAGGCCCTGGTTTTCTGCGGCCATGTTTGTTCTGTGCGGGGTCCAGCATTGTGTGTTCCCAGATGTTGTTGGCTCCATTAGTGGCCAGAATGTACACCATCTGAAACAGACAGGTCACGTGTACATACCATGTGGAACAGACAGGTCACTGGTCAAGTGTACACACCATGTGGAACAGACAGGTCACTGGTCAAGTGTACACACCATGTGGAACAGACGGGTCACTGGTCAAGTGTACACACAATGTGGAACAGACAGGTCACTGGTCAAGTGTACACACCATGTGGAACAGACAGGTCATTGGTCAAGTGTACACACCATGTGGAACAGACAGGTCACTGGTCAAGTGTACACACCATGTGGAACAGACAGGTCACTGGTCAAGTTTACATACCATGTGGAACAGACAGGTCACTGGTCAAGTGTATATACCATGTGGTTCAGATAAGTTAATGGTCAAGTGTAAATACTAAGTGGAACAGTCAGGTTAATGGTCAAGTGTACATACCATGTGGAACAGACAGGTCAATAGTCAAGTGTACACACCATGTGGAACAGACAGTTAATGGTCAAGTGTAAATATTAAGTGGAACAGACAGGTCAATAGTCAAGTGTACACACCATGTGGAACAGACAGGTTAATGGTCAAGTGTAAATATTAAGTGGAACAGACAGGTCAATAGTCAAGTGTACACACCATGTGGAACAGACAGGTTAATGGTCAAGTGTAAATATTAAGTGGAACAGAGAGGTCAATAGTCAAGTGTACACACCATGTGGGGCAGATAGGTTAATGGTCAAGTGTACATACCATGTGGAACAGACAGGTTAATGGTCAAGTGTACATACCATGTGGAACAGACAGGTTAATGGTCAAGTGTACATACCATGTGGAACAGACAGGATAATGGTCAAGTGTAAACACCAAGTGGAACAGACAGGTTAATAGTCAAGTGTACGCACTATGTAGGTCAGATAGGTTAATGGTCAAGTGTACATACCATGTGAGACTAATCATTTCATAGTAGAGACATTCAATGGTCAAATGCAATTAATCATTACATAGTAAAGAGATTCAATGGTAAAAAAAAACTAATCATTTCATAGTAGAGACATTCAATGGCCAATGCAACTAATCATTTCATAGTAGAGACATTCAATAGTCAAGTGAAACTAACCATTTCATAGTACAGACATTCAATGGTCAATGCAACTAATCATTTCATGGTAGAGACATTCAATGGTCAAATGAAACTAATCATTTCATGGTAGAGACATTCAATAGTCAAAGGAAACTTATCATTTCATGGTAGAGACGTTCAATGGTCAAATGAAACTAATCATTTCATGGTAGAGACATTCAATAGTCAAATGAAACTAATCATTTCATGGTAGAGACATTCAATGGTCAAATTAAACTAATCATTTCATAGTAGAGACATTCAATGGTCAAATGAAACTAATCATTTCATGGTAGAGACATTCAAAAGTCAAATGAAACTAATCATTTCATGGTAGAGACATTTAATGGTCAAATAAAACTAATCATTTCATGGTAGAGACATTCAATAGTTAAATGAAACTAATCATTTCATGGTAGAGACATTCAATAGTCAAATGAAACTAATCATTTCATGGTAGAGACATTCAATGGTCAAATTAAACTAATCATAAGCAATCTCCTTGTGTGGATTCCAGGGGCCATTTTTAGAAAAAGGGTAAGAGAATAGACTCATCAGCCCTTTCACCCTGTATACCTGAAAGAATGCTGTAAAAGGAAGCTAATTAAAAGTAAAAACGAAAGTCGATGTGTCAGACTGGAAGAAATCGCATCCTAAATGTAAACCACAACAAAGTGGATGTGTCAGACTGGAAGAAATCCCATTCTAAATGTAAACCACAACAAAGTCGATGTGTCAGACTGGAAGAAATTCCATTCTAAATGTAAACCACAACAAAGTCGATGTGTCAGACTGGAAGAAATCCCATTCTAAATGTAAACCACAACAAAGTCGATGTGTCAGACTGGAAGAAATCCCATTCTAAATGTAAACCACAACAAAGTCGATGTGTCAGACTGGAAGAAATCCCATTCTAAATGTAAACCACAACAAAGTGGATGTGTCAGAATGGAAGAAATCCCATCTAAATGTAAACCACAACAAAGTCGATGTGTCAGAATGGAAGAAATCCCATTCTAAATGTAAACCACAACAAAGTGGATGTGTCAGACTGGAAGAAATCCCATTCTAAATGTAAGCCACAACAAAGTCGATGTGTCAGACTGGAAGGCAAAGAAATCCCATCCTAAATGTAAACCACAACAAAGTGGATGTGTCAGACTGGAAAGCAAAGAAATCCCATTCTAAATGTAAAGCACAACAAAGTGGATGTGTCAGACTGGAAGGCAAAGAAATCCCATTCTAAATGTAAAGTACAACAAAGTGGATGTGTCAGACTGGAAGGCAAAGAAATCCCAATCTAAATGTAAAGCACAACAAAGTGGATGTGTCAGACTGGAAGAAATCCCATTCTAAATGTAAACCACAACAAAGTGGATGTGTCAGACTGGAAGAAATCCCAATCTAAATGTAAAGCACAACAAAGTGGATGTGTCCAACTGGAAGGGACAGAAATCCCATTCTAAATCATTGGACTGTGGGCCTGCTGGGAGATAAGGAAATCATTTTTATTGGTCATGTGACAATTTCAACTTAGAGTTTAAAATAATAACCCAATGAATGAGTTAAAATATCTATTTAGACAGCATGGTAGAAGAACAGGCAAATATACACGAGAAAATTGGTGAAAGTCAACAGAGATGAAAACCGCTATTATACTAAACATAGTTCACCTCAATGTCAAGTCTGTACTGCTATATGGAGTCGATCACAGAGACAGACTACAACAATGGTTAATAAACTACACACAGTCATTAAATGGGGCATCAACACAATTAAATATCATGACAAGATCAACCAGAGCTTCAAGAAAGCAATTCCAGTGAAACAGTGGCTCTGGACAGGAAAACTTGTAAGCACGAGCACTTACGCACACACAGAGTAAAAAAATAATCAGTCAGAGACAAAAATATGAGGGAAGAATGGAGTGAGCCACAGGAGATGGGGAAGGATGTGAGTACTTGAGCTGGTTAAGGAACCGTACTGTGAGTACTTGTGGACTGCACTGTGAGTACTTGAGGAGCTGTGCTTGAGTACTTAAGGAACGGTGCTGTGAGTACTTGAGGTACTGTGCTGTGAGTACTTCACCAGGTTGAGGAACTGCGCTGTGAGTACTTGTGCTGGTTGAGGAACTGTGCTGTGAGTACTTGTGTTGGTTGAGGAACTGCGCTGTGAGTACTTGTGCTGGTTGAGGAACTGTGCTGTGAGTACTTGTGCTGGTTGAGGAACTGTGCTGTGAGTACTTGAGCTGGTTGAGGAACTGTGCTGTGAGTACTTGAGCTGGTTGAGGAACTGTGCTGTGAGTACTTGTGCTGGTTGAGGAACTGTGCTGTGAGTATTTGAGCTGATGAGGAACTGTAATGTGAGTATTTGAGCTGGTAAGAAACTGTACTGTGAGTACTTGAGCTGATTATGGACTGTACTGTGAGTACTTCAGCTGGCTGAGGAACTTTGCTATAAGTACTTAAGCTGGTTGAGGAACTGTACTGTAAGTACTTAAGGAACTGTGCTGTGAGTCTGGTAATCTGGTAATCCTAGTTTCAGCTTCATAGTAAACGGGTCACCCCACATATGCTCCGCTCCTGTGCCAACGAAAAACAAACGCAGCTCACAGTGTCACCCCATGCACTCAACTCAGAAGCTGGGCGACGAAACTACATCCTTCCAGTCTACAAATGGAGCAAAAATGCAACGGCCACCGTCTGGCCAAAAAAAAAAAAAATATTTGACACGGCTTTAAAAAAAACAAAAAAACAAACAAACAAACAAAAAGTGGCCGTACCTATCGTCCATTTTGACCAGAAGAATTATATGAGGGTTAATAAACGGTCACCCCAGCAGTACCCTCCTTATTAGCTGGGGAAGGGACTTAGGACATTACATCCACCAGCAGGCGTCGCCCCTACAACGACCTGCCTGCCATCGTTAACGACTTTTCACCCAACAGCCATGCAGTTCTTTGGCACGAAGGAGACACCTTGAACTTGGGTTTCGTACTGCCGACTCCCTACTAAGATGTTATTTTATGTTCTGTTATCACAGTTAATGTCACTGCACATTGGGCATACCCATGCGTGCTCAGTTCTCCGAAGCAGCAGCCACTCTAAAGTACTTCTACTAATTGTCCCCATGAGAAGCTGGTTATATTGTCTCCTTTCTCGGCCTCAAAGACGGCAAAGACGTGCATCACCATGCTTAACTCCCATGTCACGCAATCGTGTTAGTGTCAGGGATTCCTCATTCTCCACTAGCCCAGTTCATACAGCGTTAACTATGTTTGCTCTGTCCATACTTTTTCCCGCAATCATTAGTGCAGTGCTTGCTAGTTGGTCTGCTCGCTCATTTCCCTTCACGCCCGCATGACCCAGTGTGTAGATCCAGGTTACGGAGGTTAAGTGCGATTTCCTAATGCTTTCTATCCATTCAGAGCGCATACTGCCTGTTGCTATCTTCTGAAGCATATTCATTGAGTCTGAGACAATTACTACCTGTGTGGCGGTTTGCTCGGATACCCTGCTGTGAGTACTTGTGCTGGTTGAGGAACTGTGCTTTGAGTACTTAAGGAACTGTACTGTGAGTACTTGAGCTGGTTTAGGAACTGTGCTCCAACAGTGGAATTCAGGTCAATGGAAGGCAAAAAATAACAACAATATAAGATAAAACATCAAGGCGGCAAAAAATAACAAAATGGCTACTCACTGAATGCTGACTGGGACACCACTGGCCCTTCTTCAAATGCTTCACTTGGGAAATATGTCGCCCGAGACTGCGATGAACACTGCAACACTCATCACATATAAGCACACCCCGATTAATGGATGCCCAGGTTGGGTCTGAGGATATCAAACATATACAACCCACATTATGAGGGAATTATTAAAAACATCATATACATAATTTTAGGCAAAAACATTTCAACGTCTGGCAGCCAACCAACCGTGGCTACTTACATGAATGATGCCTATAGCTTTGACAGCAAGTCAATGATAGTAGCCAGAGTAACTAAATAGGATTACCTGGGAAAGCAAATCATCAAAGTAGAACAAAGAAAGAGACAGATGTTGCTCTTTGGTCCTGTGATGGGAAGAAAAGCAGTAGCGAACACTTTGATGCTCAAAAAGATTAGAGGAGTACAAAAACAGACAGAGAACTGATGCTGGATGCTTTCAGATGATCACATGGAGGAATATCATGAATAAAACTGACTGAACAGGAGGATACATGTCTGCCTAGGCAAGGCACATGACGATGGTGAAATGTCTGGTACAGAATAGGTGAGCATGTTGCAGGTGAGCTTGTTGCAGGTGAGCATGTTGCAGGTGAGCATGTTGCAGATGAGCATGTTGCAGGTAAAAAGTTACAGGTGAGAACTCACCTGGAGCGGAACAGTCAGCACACACAGGAGGGGGGCGCAAACTGCCCCGTGGCATTGTCATCTTGTTCGGATCAGCTCTCTTGACTTTTGGTTCCGTGGTGATTATTTTATGGTCCCAGGGTGAGAAAAAAAGTGTGACTTCACATGCAGCAATGAGATGCTGTGACAATTCTGTGGGGTAGAGAATATTGTAGGCATAGCTGTATAAAAGATTGAGGAAGAGTTATTTACAAGATGTAGGCACAATTATATGACAAACTAGTGTTAGATATACACAAGTCCTACACACACACAAGTTTTACAAACAAGCATGCACTACAACAAACAAGATCTACACACAAATGCTACATACAAACATGGACTACAACAAACAAGATCTGCATACATGCACAAGTGCTCACACAAACATGTACTTCAACAAACAAGATCTACATACACACAAGTGCTACACACACACAAGTGCTACATACAAACATGCACTACAACAAACAAGATCTACATACACACAAGTGCTACATATGCATAAGTGCTACATATAAACATGCACTACAACAAACAAGATCTACATAAACACAAGTGCTACATATGCACAAGTGCTTTAATACACACAAGTGCTACAATAAACAAGTACTACATACAAACAAGCACTGGTTACTACTGATTTAAGAACTGACAACATAGCACACTGGGCATACCCATAGATGCTCCTTCTCTCACAACAAATATTTTAAGGTGTTGATGCTAACTGTTCCCGTGGCACACTGGGCATACCCATAGATGCTCCTTCTCTCACAACAAATATTTTAAGGTGTTGATGCTAACTGTTCCCGTGGCACACTGGGCATACCCATAGATGCTCCTTCTCTCACAACAAATATTTTAAGGTGTTGATGCTAACTGTTCCCGTAGTACACTGATTATTCACACGTCATTCTCTTCCTCTCATCCATCCCTCCTTGCCAGATCCACACTTACTTCCTTGTTCACACATTCTTGCACGTGTTATTTCATCTAATCTTGTGTCTTTTGTCAACAGTCGTTCACATATATGGTCTTCAGATTATCTCCCTTATTCAGTACCAGTGTTCCTGTAGCTATCGCTTTTGTAGCCTGAAAATCCGCTCTTTCATTCCCTCGCACTCCCGCATATCGCAGTATATCTACATGATTCCCTGCAATGTTGACGTACTGATGCATCGTATCCACTCATGCTCCATTAGTCCATTTTTAACTTTCCGCAACGCCGACTGAGAATCAGACACAATAATTCCTTTGGTAACTTTGTTTTCTGCTATCCAATTCAGAGCTGCAGTCATTGCCTCCACTTCTATCTTCATGCTTGAAGTTATAGATTAAAAAAGCTATTTTGTTCTGCCACAATTTTTCCCTTTATTCTAGCCAAAAGTCCTCAGCCAGATCTTACATCGGATGAACAGAACCATCAGAGTACACAACTATAGTTCGTTCAACAATTGCAAGCCTAAACTACCTGTTAGTTCGCAATGAATATTTTGCATGCAGCCTTAAAATCACCATGACACAAAAATAGTGGTATTCTTTAGTCCATAGATGCTCAGGATGCTAAATATCAGCCAATTCCTTGATCTTATCGGTCCATTGTAAATAAGTAGAGTGAACTTTTAGATTTTACAGTAAACATCTGAATTTTTGGTTCAGTTTTTTCAGAGGGGTGTCTTTATAATACACTGACAGGTGAAGTAAACTTATTTGTTGTCATTTATGTTCAACTGAGCTAAGTTGAGCTGAGTCAAGAAAGACATCACAGCAGTCGGGGCATTCACATATGTGCTCCGTCCTCATCTTCAGCATCCAGCGCAGAGTTGCAATACTAATGGCACCAGTGGCCGTCTGATTATATGTCCCCACATCTGCCTTGTCATGTATCAGTTCACCACCCAGTGGTGTAGATCCAACCAATCTGTCTGCCTTTTTCAATTGTAAACATGTCCCCAAAATGCAACAGTAAGTATTCCCCTTTGGTCACCATTAGACCCCATGGTGTATTTTAACTGCACAGCAAATTGTATTATGGTTGACACATTTGGATATGGAGATGTATTTGTTGCAATTGCAGATGTACCTGATGGGTTGATGATATTTAACCACTCATCAAAAAAATGGTTTTAATCATTCCAACGGTGCCAGTACTCTTCCTCTCGAAGCACATGTTCAACACACTTTTTCCAGACATGACTGGATGCTTTATTCACATCCTATGTGAACATTTCAGCATTGTCCCATGCTGCCTTTGTTGGCCTATAGCTGCCCATGATGTCCGGTAGCATATTCTTTCTAAGTGTGACATCGCTTTCTTTGCCACAATTGTTTCCAGCAGTTGGCTCAACACATTTTGAAGAGTTATGATTCTATAACTGCTGAGCTGCAAGGGATCCGTGCCTGGTTTTGGAAATGGTCTAAGATAGCTGTGTAATTAGTCACCTGGTACATTTGACGTTTGGATACTATCATTAAAGACCCTCAATACTTGTAGTATTTTATCATTACTTAAATGTTTGATATGGCCATATCGTGCACCGTCTGACCCCGGAGCATTATTTCTGCTGCCTCGCATATTTACAAGTGCTACTACATATACACAAGTGCTAATACATATACACAAGTGCTACTACACATACACAAGTGCTACTACACATACACAAGTGCTACTACTACACATACACAAGTGCTACTACACATACACAAGTGCTACTACTCATACACAAGTGCTACTACTCATACACAAGTGCTACTACACATACACAAGTGCTACTACACATACACAAGTGCTACACATACACAAGTGCTACATATACACAAGTGCTACATATACACAGGTGCTACTACATATACACAGGTGCTACTACATATACACAAGTGCTACACATACACAGGTGCTACTACATATACACAGGTGCTACTACATATACACAGGTGCTACTACATATACACAGGTGCTACTACATATACACAGGTGCTACTACATATACACAAGTGCTACATATACACAGGTGCTACTACATATACACAAGTGCTACATATACACAGGTGCTACTACATATACACAAGTGCTACATATACACAGGTGCTACTACATATACACAAGTGCTACTACATATACACAAGTGCTACATATACACAGGTGCTACTACATATACACAAGTGCTACATATACACAGGTGCTACTACATATACACAAGTGCTACATATACACAGGTGCTACTACATATACACAAGTGTTACATATACACAGGTGCTACTACATATACACAAGTGCTACATATACACAGGCGCTACTACATATACACATGTGCTACTACATATACACAAGTGCTACATATACACAAATGCTACACATACACAAGTGCTACATATACACAAGTGCTACTACATATACACAAGTGCTACTTCATATACACAAGTGCTACTTCATATACGCAAGTGCTACTACATATACACAAGTGCTACATATACACAAGTGCTACTACATATACACAAGTGCTACTTCATATACACAAGTGCTACTAAATATACACACAAGTGCTATGTATACACAAGTGCTATGTACACACAAGTGCTACATACAAACAAGTTTACATAAGTGCTATGTATACACAAGTGCTACTAAATATACACAAGTGTTATGTACACACAAGTGCTATGAATACACAAGTGCTATGTACACACAAGTGCTATGTACACACAAGTGATATGTATACACAAGTGATATGTACACACAAGTGATATGTACACACAAGTGACATGTACACACAAGTGCTACACATACACAAGTGCTACATATAAGCAAGTGCTATGTACACATAAGTGCTCCATACACACAAGTGCTCCATACACACAAGTGCTCCATACACACAAGTGCTCCATACACACAAGTGCTCCATACACACAAGTGCTCCATACACACAAGTGCTCCATACACACAAGTGCTCCATACACACAAGTGCTCCATACACACAAGTGTTCCATACACACAAGTGCTCCATACACACAAGTGCTCCGTACACACAAGTGCTACGTACACACAAGTGCTACGTACACACAAGTGCTATGTACACACAAGTGTTATGTACACACAAGTACTATGTACACACAAGTGCTATGTACACACAAGTGATTTGTATACACAAGTGCTACATATATGCAAGTGCTATGTACACACAAGTGCTACATACACACAAGTGCTACATACACATAAGTACTACATACACACAAGTGCTACAGGTGCTTTCTTTTTAGCGGACAACAAAATGACGTCAGGGGACAATCCAATATTGTAGAGGGTGGTAAGAGCAGGTTTTCCATGGTTTCTGTGCTTGAGTGTTTCTTCAAAGGCCAAGGTTTTCATGCATTTACCTAACCCTAATCTTAACCCAAACTATATGCCTAATCTATCACCCCCTGAAATATTTAATAGTTCCGTTGCCTGTGGCTTTCCTATGTTTATGGTGGGCTAACAAGAGAGTACTGCGCTACAAACAAACAAGTGCTACATACACACAAGAGCTACATACACACAAGTGCTACAAACACACAAGAGCTACATACACACAAGTGCTACATAGACACAAGTGCTACATACACACAAGTGCTACAAACACACAAGTGCTACAAACACACAAGTGCTACATACACACAAGTGCTACAAACACACAAGTGCTACATACACACAAGTGCTACAAACACACAAGTGCTGCATACACACAAGAGCTACAAACACACAAGTGCTACAAAAACACACAAGTGCTACAAACACACAAGTGCTACATACACACAAGTGCTACAAACACACAAGTGCTACATACACACAAGAGCTACAAACACACAAGTGCTACAAACACACAAGTGCTACAAACAAACAAGTGCTGCAAACACACAAGTGCTACATACACACAAGAGCTACAAACACACAAGTGCTACAAACACACAAGTGCTACATACACACAAGAGCTACAAACACACACAATTGCTAGATACAATTACATAACATAATAATAACTTTTACTCAGAAGTGTTGACGTTGAG